TTTGACGGTCTCGGAGGGTCTATAGGAAAATATGTGACTTGGGCGTATGCCCGGAATCGAATTTCGAGGTCCCAAGCCCGAGAAATTAATTTTCAAAGGAAATTATTTTCAGAAATTGTTTAAAGAAATTTGAAATGAAATTTGATTAGAATTTGATGGTATCGGGCTCGTATTTTGGTTCTGGCGTTCGGTACAGGTCCTATATATGGTTTAAGACATTTTTGTAAAATTTGGAGAAAAACGGATATCATTTGATGTGATTCGGACCTAAATTGCTAAAGTTGATGTTTTAAGAAGTTTGAGAAAATTCTATGATTTTGGAGGTTTAATTCGTTGTTATTGAGGTTATTTTGGTGATTTTATTACACGAATAAGTTCGTAAGATATTTTTGAGGTTGTATGTATATTTGGGTGGGAGCCCCGAGGGCTCGGGTGAGTTTTGGATAGGCCATGGGATGCATTTTTGAACTTAGAAAATTGCAGAAATTGCAGCTGAGCATAGCAGGCCTGCAGGCTTCGCATTTGCGAAGCCTGGCTCGCAAATGCGAGTGGCTTTTCGCAATTGCGAAGTAAGCCTAGGCCATCCCCTTCTCGCAAATGTGAGGACGATCATTGCAAATGTGATGCTCCTGCCGTCGCAAATGCGACCTTTATTTCACAAATGCGAAACTTCCCAGCCTGTTCAGTGATCGCAAATGCGACCAATGTGCCGCAAATGTGGAAGTTGCAAATGCGACATTTTCTTTCGCAAATGTGAAGGTCCAGCATTTCTGAAGGGTTCGCAATTGCAAATCCCAGTTCGCAATTCCCATAACTGAGACCTGCAACTTTTATACTTAGCCGATTTTAAAACCCATTTTTCATATTCCCTCAAACATAAACACACTTAGGTGATTTTTTCAAGGATTCCTTCTTCTCCAAATCAATTGTAAGTCGTTTTTAACTAGTTGTCTTCAATCATTAACATCTTTTAACATGATTTCAACTTCAAATCAATGATTTTCATGGGGGAAATTGGGTGTTTTGGGTAGAACCTAGGTTTTTCAAAAATTGGGGATTTGGACCTCAATTTGAGGTCCGATTTCAAAACAAATTACATATTTGAGCTCGTGGGGGAATGGGTAATCGAGTTTTGGTTCGAACTTCGGGTTTTGACCAAGTGGGCCTGGGGGCGATTTTGACTTTTTGGGTAAAACTTTGGAAAACTCATTTTCATGCATTCAAATTGATTCATTTAGCGTTTAATGATGTAATTAAGTAACTTGTGGCTAGATACAAGCGAATTGGCAGAGGAATCAAGGGGTAAAGCTATAATTGAAACTTGAGTTGTGTTTGAGGCATCGAGGTAAGTGTTCGGTCTAACCTTAGCTTGAGGGATTAGGAGTTGAGTCCTATTTGTTAATTGCTTCTTGTTGAGTACGACGTATAGGCATGGTGACGGGTATCTATACGTTGGAGTCGAGCATGACCGTGAGTCTTAAGTTGATAGTTGTTGTGTTCTTAAATGTTACTACGAATGCTTTAATTGATGATTCTCGATATTGAGCAAGGATTTAGTTTATTCCCGTGGATTTTATTTATGATTGAGTATTGGTATTAATTAAGCTGAGTAGAAGTTGAGTTAGGATTGGTTATAGCTGATTCTCCCTTGCCGGGATGATTGTTTCAATATTGTTGCTCCCTTGCCGGAAAGTTATTATATTGCTTTTGTTCCCTTACCAGGATTCCTTGTGATTTTGTGCTGGCATGTAAATGGGAGCGGGTGGTACGCCTACCTCAAGAAATTATGAAATGGGAGCGAGTGGTATGCCTACCACAAGATATGATGAAATGGGAGCGGGTGGTACGCCTACCACAAGATATGATGAAATGGGAGCGGGTGGTACGTGATAAGTTAGGATTTTAACATGTTTTATGCCCCTACTTGCCTATGCTTTGATCATATATTGTTACAAAATAGTCCTAAAACGCTCACAAGTTGTGCTTGATCGCAGGTTTGATTGACAAAGTGATGAAATGTCAAAGATCGGCTCAAAAAGTAGTGAAACCTGCTCAAATATCAAAGACCAAGAAATTTAAGAAAAGAAGGCCTAGTGCGAACCACGCAAAGTGGAATGCGGCCGCACTAGGTGGTTCAGAGAGTTGGTGAATCAGGCTAGAAGAAGTGCTGTCACAGTACACATCTCGCGGACCGCGGTGAAGGCTCCGCAGCCGCACTACTCTTTTGTGTGGTTCGCGGTCATGAGATTCAGAGAGATGAAGTTTGCAAAGCCAGTGCCATGCGCTCCGCGGTCGTGGTTGCACGGACCACGCCAACTCCCTCCGCGGTCTTGGTCCATTCTACGCGGTCCGCGGAGTCCAAGTTCAGAGAAACAGAAGTAAGCCCCGTGCAGCCGCAGTCCATTTAATGCGGCCCGCACTGACCCCGTAGGGGTATTTTTGTCCAATTTTTCCAGCCTAGTATAAAAAGAACATTGTACCATTTTTTAGGTAATCAGATACATTAGTAGAGAGCTGCTCTTGTGAGAACGTATTTTGTAGCCCTTTTGGCACTTTTGCTTCACATTTACGATAAATTCTTGCAATTTAATTTTAGCAATTAATTTATATGTGATGATAGGCTATAATTACGTATTTTAGTCGTTTATTACACTTAATTTACTGCACTTTAGTTGGGTTTACGCTTTAATCGCGAATGTTTTTCACTAACAATATGTTTTATGCCTTGTAGGAGTGATTCCGAGCTATATAGATGTTATGAAATGAATTGAAGTGATTTTGAGCTTTGAATTCTGAGTAAAAGCCCAAGGAATTAAATCGGGATCGTGTCAGGGGTCAACTTTGATAGTTAAGAATAAACGAAGACTCGAAGGGCATATTGCATACTGTCTAGTAAAATACACATAACATTTTTCTCAGAACTCCATTTTGGCTCCACATTATATGGTTGGAAACCTAACTCAAAGGTCTACAACTTTTATGTTTTAAGTTTGTCCAAATTCTAAATGGAATAGGGCGAAACGCGCGAGATTTGAGCCAATATGAACGAAACCGGGAAAAAGGGCCAGTTGGGCGCCACAGGCAGTGCTTGGCACAACCTGTGGCGCCAAAAATAGTATGCACAAATAATGGGGCGTCGTGGCCGGGATGGGCGCTGGTGACGTGAAATGTGTTCTATTTTGCCCGGGACAAGTTTATTTCGGCCCTAGACCTACCCAACTGATATAGAAGCAAGATTAAACCTATTTTTGAGGGAGGGGACACACCTTGGAGCAAAAATACACGCAAGATACATTGAGGAGAAAGAACATCTCAGAATTCTTCATCTTTTTCTAGTATTTCCAATTGATTCAACATTTATGCAATTGTTTGATTACATCATGAGTGGCTAAACACCCATTGTTCTGGGGTTGTGATTTAGCCATGAATATTGTTGTTTAACGTTGACTTGACCTTGATTATAATTCACCAATATATGGTTGTTTCTTCAATTCTGTGTTTAATTGCTTAATTGTCTGGCCAGCAGTTAGGTTCTATTTACTATCTATGCTATGCTTGGGAAAGCCGTGTTTAGATTAGAGAAGAATTGAAGAAAGCATGATCTTAACCCTTAGGGGGGAGTGGATTTGTGGTTAGGATAGGAATATACCTAGTCACCATGCTTAATTAAATATCGTGATCTTACTGTGTTCTTAATAGATTGATTTCATAGGAATATAGGCGTTAATCTATTGAGAATAAGTCAGTAGTACTTCGGGAGAAGGCTATGAGAGCATTTATCGATTAATTAGCAACCATGAGTGAATTATATGAAAGGGAGAGTTAATTAGAACACAATACAATTGGTGAATCGATCATAACTCTGGAATACTTGTCTCTACTGAATACATAACAATCAACTCGTTACTTCATAACTTAGTTATTATTTAGAATTGTAGTATAATATAATCATATTATTGGACTTTGATTTTAGCTGGATTGAATAACAATTTTAGTGATTTAGTGAGTAGTTTACACAAGTCTCTGTGGGTTCGACACTCAACTTATCATTATATTACTTGTCGACCATGTATACTTACGTGTGCGTTTGGGAGAAACAAGTTTTTGGCGCCGTTTTCGAGGACTTGAATATTAAGTACTTGCTAGTTTTTGCTTTAATTGTTTATTTAGTCTAGTCTAACTTTACTTGATTGTTGCTCAGATCTCAGGAACTCTGATTGAATGTGTAGAGTCAGAAGCCAGGACCAACTTCAAGGCTTTGATCCTGAACCTGAGAGAACATTTCACAAGAGGTTGAGGGAAGCAAGGGACACGAATAATATTCAGGCACTTGTTCAATTTCCTGTGGACATGGCAGAGGAGCAACCCATAGCTGTTCAGGAGGTGGCGATACCCAGCATTACTAATGTTATCTCCAGTATAGTGAAGCCTAGGATCACTAGGCACTTTGAGCTGAAATAGAGCATGATCCAGTTACTTCATGCAAATGGACTATTTATGGGTCTTCCACAAGAGGATCGACAACAGCATATTCTGAACTTCTTGGAGATTAGTGATACTTATATCACTAAAGGGGTCACTCCAGATTACGTGAGGCTCACACTTTTTCCATTCTCTGTATTGGGCGAGGATAAGCGATGGCTAAAGGCAGAACTAGCTAATTCCATCACATCATGGAATGATTTGGCAAGAATATTTCTGGCAAGGTTCTTTCCTTCAGGCAAAACTGCAAAGATCAGAAGTGAGATAGTGGCCTTCAAACAGAAAGCGGGAGAATCTTTATACTCAGCTTGGGAAAGGTTCAAGGGGCTACTCAGAGACTGTCCTCATCACAATCATACGAATGAAGTGTTAGCTCACACTTTCATAGAAGGGCTACATGCTGAAACAAAGACTGTGGTAGATGCTGCAGCTGGGGTCAAGTGTTGGAGAAAAGCTTTGACGAGATATATGCATTGTTGAATAAATTCTCCAAGAGCAATCCGGATTGGCAAGGAGAGATGGGCAGACACACAGTGCAAACATTTGTAGGGGTTCTTGATTTAGATGTCGTCTCAGCATTATCAGCGCAGATTTCTACACTGACCAATCAAGTCAACCAGATGAACTTGAGTATCAACAAGCAACAAGCCCAACTAGTGCAACAAGTTCAAATATTTTGTGAAGTATGTGGAGAGGGTCACATGAGCAATCTATGCCTAGAAAATCCAGAGTCTGTATATTTTGTGGGTAATGCAAATCGAGGCCAAACAAATCAGTATGGGGACACTTACAATCCCAACTGGAGGAACCACCTAAACTTCTCTTGGGGTGGAAACCAGGGCACTCAGAATCAATACAGGCCTCAAGCACCTCAACAACAAGATAGACCACCTCATATTGAACAACAAGAGAGTCCTACAAGTCACCTTGAAGACATGTTGAAAAAAGTGATGGTTGAACAGCAAGCCCTCGCCACAACAGTGAAAAATTTGGAGCGTCAAATGGGACAGCTTGCCAGTGCTCAAAACACTAGACCAGTTGGAACTCTTCCAAGTGATACTGAGCCCAATCCTAAAGCTCAAGTCAATGCGGTTACCTTGAGAAATGGAAGAGCACTAGAAGAAGTTCCAAAGAAAAATAAAAATACAGATCATACTGAAGGAGAATTAGCTCCCAATCTAGTTGATGGAAATGAGAAAGATTATAAAGGACTCAAGCCAGTAATTGAGACTAGGCCACCACCTTCATTTTCACAAAGACTGCAGAAGCAAAAAGATGATGCCAAGTACAAGAAATTCCTAGATATTTTGAGCCAAGTGAGTGTGAATCTGCCTTTGGTGGAAATTTTGCAGGAAGTGCCTAAGTATGCAAGGTATCTCAGAGATATTGTGGCAAAAAAACGAAGACATACAGAGTTTGAAACAGTGGCACTTACTGAAGAGTGTAGTGCCAGAGTTCAGAGTAAACTTCCTCCTAAGTTGAAGGATCCTGAGAGTTTCACAATTCTTTTGTCTCTTGGAAAACAGGAAGTTGGTAGAGCCTTGTGTGATTTAGGGGCCAGTATAAATTTGATACCATCCTCTTTGTTCAAGCAACTCGGATTGGGGGCGCTTAGACCTACTACAATCACTTTACAGCTAGCAGATAGGTCACTAGTCATGCCCGAAGGAATTATTGAGAATGTGTTAGTTCGAGTGGGAAAGTTTATTCTTCTTGCTAATTTTATTATTCTTGATTACGAGGCAGATGAGGAAGTGCCCATTATTTTGGGGCGACCATTCTTAGCTACTGGTGGAGCAATTATTGATGTGAGAGCATGGAAGTTAAAAATGAGAGTTGACAATGAAGAGGTCACTTTTAATTTGTACAAGGCACTTAAGCTTCCTAAGCATTATGAGGACTTGTGCATGATTAGTTTGGTAGAATCGAAGAGGATAAAGCAGAGTCCTTATATGAATTATAGTGATCCAGATGGGACAACTGAGTTAAAGGAGGTGGTATTTCCAGTTGAGCGTGTTAAGATGATTGAGAAAAGAACCAGAGATGAAAGAGGAGACCTTCCGAGAACGTGCAAAAAGGCTAGACGTCATAGGAGAAAGAAGAAGAGAAAGCGCCCAGCCTGAGCAGAATAGCAGAGTCGTGCCACGACTATAAATAAGGCGTTTGTTGGGAGGCAACCCAACCTGTATATCTTTTATCTATTGATTAATTTTTTTAGTGTCAAGTTTTGTGTTGCTTTTATTTTGCAGAGTAGAGGAAGTCTGAGTACCCAAAGTTGAAGTTGAGGAGCATGTTTGATCTTAAGTGTGGGGTCGTCCCAGCCCTTAATATTGAGGATCATGTCTGAGCTAGGTCTGAGAGGGTCTCAGGGAGTATTTCTCACCCTTGTTTTAATATTTCTCTATGATCATGCATCGAGGGATATGCATAGTTCAAGTGTGGGGTGGGAGGAATACTACTTGTGCTGTAGTTGTATATTTTGTATTAACTTGTTTTGTTTTGCTTCTTTTCGTAGTTCTAGTGTAGTCAATCTAGTTTAGTATTAGTTGCTTTAAATGAAAAAGAAAAAAAATTATTTGCAAAAGATCGGATTTTTCCCGAATATGGATCTTTTGGACAATTTTCTTGAGGGTTAAAAGTCCGATTTAAAAACACCAAAGAGATTTTTGTTTTTTTATGTGTCATTTTATTTTTTTAGAATAGCTAGGTAGTATTCCTTGATTTTTCTTTGGGCACCGGTTCTTTTCCAAGGATGTAGCTCGAACCGGGCACTTTAATTTCTTTTTAGGAGCAGTTTAGGAAGGAACTGAGTCGTTCTGAGATACTCATTGACATGGTTGATGCTGGCACATTAGGCTATAACATACATTTTGTTTTCTCGTGTATTTGGTTTGACTTGTGAAGCCTAAGTAAAGTAAATAGCCTATTTTGTGACGTCGTTTCTCAGTTGTTTGACTTGTATACCACATAGTGCAATGTTGCTTAAATTTCTCATTTAATTGTACTTCCTTGACTTGAGAGTTGAACAAAACCATCTTGATTGAGTCATGTGCAACATGTGTGTGAGGATTTGTGATTTTCTTTGCTATCCTGTGTAGTCTAGAACTTGCCCCGTGTGTTAATTGAAGCGAAATTATAAGTTGTGCTATATCTAAGAGATGACGTAGGCATTTTCTTGCTTGATCATAGATGTGCTTGTCACATAAAAATAAAATTTTCCGTTGCTAGACCCTTTGAGCCTATAGACCTTTCTTTTGGCACCCACATACAAGCCATACCCCTATTTTGTTCTTAATTTGATATTGATTGAACCTTTACCTCCTAAGGCACTTAGTCTCTAAAAGAAGTAAGGTGAGATATTTGGGAGTAGTTTTCGAGTGGAAACATGGAAGGGCTCGTTGGTGCACTAAAGTTGAAATCATAAGTTACTAGCCGATGAACTTTAATGTATGGAGTGTGTGAAGAAAAAAAAGAGAGATAAAGGAAAAGAAAAATTGCAAGAAAAGAGAAAAACAAATATGATAGTTCAAATAATGTAGAAAAATACACACCTCCAATTCTTATTGATTTGTGCTAGTGACAAAATAGAGAAGTGCTTAAGTGAAAAGTGGGTTATGTTGTATATGGCAAGTGATTTGGTTGAGAAGAATATGTGCTTGAAGTGTAAATATAGTGTATTAAAGTGCTTAGGAGGGTGAGTCACTATTTCTAAATATATTCTACCCGTCCCTTAGCCTACAATACAACCTAAAAGTCCTAATTTATCCTAGATTTGGCTAGCTTAAATTAGTGGAGATATACATTACGGGCAAGCTTATGGAACGACCACGGGATGCATATGAATTCTTTGTGAGAGTGAGCGAATTTTGTTCAATTGTATGATGTCCTTAAATTATGTTCAAAAGCATATTTGAATGTGTAGACCAATTTATATTCACTCTCGGTTTGTTGGTGAGGGCACATTATCTCATGAATGATTGGCAATGTTGTAAACTTTCTTATTGGGTAAGTGCATAAATTGAGGGTACTTAGTGGTTGCAAGTCGGCTTGTGAGGGTGGGTGGTGACAATTAGGTTATTGGAAATTATTGAATTGAAATATTATACTTGGGCTTGCTTAAATGGGAAGAATGTGAATTTTTGTGTGTTCATGCTTGTGTGCCGGTATTAATCATAGTCAAGGGTATAGTGTGTGGTTAAAAGTTAAAGTGCTCCTCTATAATTGATACTTGTACGTAGTTGGGGGAGGGGGGTATTAGATAGTCCCATTGCTCGAGGACGAGCAACGTTTAAGTGTGGGGTGTTGATGATAGTCTATAGTTACGTATTTTGGTCGATTATTACACTCTAATTTACTGCACTTTAGTTGGGTTTACGCTTTAATCGCTAATGTTTTGCACTAACGATGTGTTTATGCCTTGTAGGAGTGATTCCGAGCTATATAGATGTTATGGAATGAATTGAAGTCATTTTGAGCTTTGAAGTCTGAGTAAAAGCCCAAGGAATTAAGTCGGGATCGTGTCAGGGGTCAACTTTGATAGTTAAGAATAAACGAAGACTCGAGAGGGCATATTGCGTACTGTCTAGAAAATACACATAATATTTTTCTCAGAACTTCATTTTAGCTCCACAATATATGGTTGGAAACCTAACTCAAAGGGCTACAACTTTCATGTTTTACATTTTTCCAAATTCTAAATGGAACAGGGCGAAATGCACGAGATTTGAGCCAATACAAACGAAATTGGGAAAAATGACCAGTTGGGCGCCACAGGCAGTGCCTGGCGCCACCTATGGTGCCAAAAATAGTATGCACAAATAATGGGGCGCCGTGGAGGGCGCCTGGCACCGGGCTAGGCGCTGGTGACGTGAAATGTGTCTTATATTGCCCGGGACAAGTTTATTTCGGCCCTAGACCTACCCAACTGATATAGAAGCAAGACTAAACCTATTTTTGAGGGAGGGGACGCACCTTGGAGCAAAAATACACGCAAGAAACATTAAGGAGCAAGAACATCTCAGAATTCTTCATCTTTTTCTAGTATTTCCAATTGATTCAACACTTATGCAATTGTTTGATTACATCATGAGTGGCTAAACACCCATTGTTCTGGGGTTGTGATTTAGCCATGAATATTGTTGTTTAACGTTGACTTGACCTTGATTATAATTCACCAATATATGGTTGTTTCTTCAATTCTGTGTTTAATTGCTTAATTGTCTGGCCAGCAGTTAGGTTCTATTTACTATCTATGCTACGCTTGGGAAAGCCGTGGATTAGAGAAGAATTGAAGAGAGCATGATCTTAACCCTTAGGGGGAGCGGATTTATGGTTAGGATAGGAATATACCTAGTCACCATGCTTAATTAAATATCGTGATCTTAATGAGTTCTTAATAGATTGATTTCATAGGAATATAGGCATTAATCTATTGAGAATAGGTGAGTAGTACTTCGGGAGAAGGATATGAGAGCATTTATCGATTAATTAGCAACCATGAGTGAATTATATGAAAGGGAGAGTTAATTAGAACACAATACGATTGGTGAATCGATCACAACTCTGGAATATTTGTCTCTACTGAATACACAACAATCAACTCGTTACTTCATAACTTAGTTATTATTTAGAATTGTAGTATAATATAATCATATTATTGGACTTTGATTTTAGCTGGATTGAATAACAATTTTAGTGATTTAGTGAGTAGTTTACACAAGTCTCTGTGGGTTCGACAATCAACTTATCATTATATTACTTGTCGACCACGTATACTTACGTATGCGTTTGGGAGCAACAAGTTTTTGGCGTCGTTGTCGGGGACTTGAATATTAAGTACTTGCTGGTTTTTGCTTTAATTGTGTATTTAGTCTAGTCTAACATTACTTGATTGTTTCTCAGATCTCAGGAACTTTGATTGAATGCGTAGGGTCAGAAGCCAGGACCGACTTCAAGGCTTTGATCCTGAACCTGAGAGAACATTTCACAGGAGGTTGAGGGAAGCAAGGGACACGAATAATATTCAGGCACTTGTTCAATTTCTTGTGGACATGGAAGAGGAGCAACCCATGGTTGTTCAGGAGGTGGCGATGCCCAGCATTACTAATGTCACCTCCAGTATAGTGAAGCCCGAGATCATTGGGCACTTTGAGCTGAAACAGAGCATGATCTAGTTAATTCATGCAAACGGGCAATTAATGGGTATTCCACACGAGGATCGACAGCAGCATATTCTGAACTTCTTGGAGATTAGTGATACTTATATCACTAACGGGGTCACTCCAGATTACGTGAGGCTCACACTTTTTCCATTCTCTCTGTTGGGCGAGGCTAAGCAATGGCTAAAGGCAGAACCAGCTAATTCCATCACATCATGGAATGATTTGGCAAGAATATTTCTGGCAAGGTTCTTTCCTTCAGGCAAAACTGCAAAGAGTAGAAGTGAGATAGTAGCCTTCAAACAGAAAGCGGGAGAATCTTTATACTCAGCTTGGGAAAGATTCAAGGGGCTACTCAAAGACTATCTCATCACAATCAGATGAATGAAGTGTTAGCTCACACTTTCATAGAAGGGCTACATGCTAAAACAAAGATCGTGGTAGATGCTGCAGTTGGGGTCAAGTGTTGGAGAAAAGCTTTGACGAGATATATGCATTGTTGAACAAATTCTCCAAGAGCAATCCGGATTGGCAAGGAGAGATGGGCAGACACACAGTGCAAAGGTCTGCAGGGGTTCTTGAGCTAGATGTCGTCTCAGCATTATCAACGCAGATTTCTACACTGACCAATCAAGTCAACCAGATGAACTTGAGTATCAACAAGCAACAAGCCCAACCAGTGCAACATGTTCAAATATTTTGTGAAGTATGTGGAGAGGGTCACATGAGCAATCTATGCCTAGCAAATCCAGAGTCTGTATATTTTGTGGGTAATGCAAATCGAGGCCAAACAAATCAGTATGGGGACACTTACAATCCCAAATGGAGGAACCACCTAAACTTCTCTTGGGGTGGAAACCAGGGCACTCAGAATCAATACAGGCCTCAAGCACCTCAACAATAATATAGACCACCTCAGGTTGAACAACAAGAGAGTCCTATAGTCACCTTGAAGACATGTTGAAAAAAGTGATGGCTGAACAGCAAGCCCTCGCCACAACAGTG